GGGGAACACTGCTATCCTTTCTCTGCACCCTAGATTTAGAATTGGAAGGGACCTTAGAGGTCATTGAGTATAGTCCTTTCAACTTACAGATGAGAAAACAGGCTCAGAAAGGTTAAGCAATCTGGCAGGATTTGAACCCCAGGTCTTCTGGACTGTTAACGTGCTATAAACTTTGCTCGTTTATATGCCCAATCAGAGTTTCAATATCCTGTTTGTTCTTGATGGAAGTCACCAATCCAGAGGGTTTGATTAGTACCTGGCCCATCAACCCTTTAGGCTTGTTTTTGTGTGCCTGGGCTGCTTACTGTGACATTAGGTGAGTTTTGGGGGTCATCTGGGTCTGATTCCCTGGTTAAATTGGAAGGACCATAGATCATAGAATTTTAGAGTTGAGGCTTTAGAGAAAACCTAGTCCAGCCCCCTTAAAACAAGCCCCCAGGCATGCAGTGGGAGGGGTAGGAAAGCTAATGATATGTAATGTTTGTTAAAATAAGTGAGAAGATAATAGACTATATTGACCTAGGTTTTTCTGGTTTGCAAAAAGCTTCACACTCACTTGAGTCCCTTAAGCTGGTGAAGTAAAGTAGGTAATGGGTTACTCCTCCCATTTATAGCCCAGGAAATTGAGACTCTGAGAGGTGGTCATTTGCTGAAGCTTGTGCTAGAGCTGAGATTCCATACCATGTCTTCTGGTTCAAATATAGTGTTTCTGGCACATGACAGTCCCTTGCCTTATAACAATTTGCCTCTTGAAAGCTGGTGGCTACCCAGGTGCTGCATGGCACATTAGAAAAAGCCCTAGCTTTGGAGCCAGGAGATTAAGAGAAAAGTTTTCTTTCTTTTTTTTTAAGGAGCTAGATTGCTTTAAAAAATTGTTTTCATTTTTTTACTTTAAACCATTTGTTAAGTAGGCAATGAAAAGGATCTGCTAGAAGCACACTGCACCAGTTTCCTTCCAAAATCATTTCTCTTTGCAGCTCCATATGCTTACTTATAAAATGAAGATAATAATGCCTGCCCCTTACCAGCTTCTTAAGGTCTTTTGAGGACCAAGAAAACAGTCGGTCTCATGGAGAAAGATAAAATTCAATCTAAGATAATAAAGGAAGGAGAATGGGAATTGAAAAATCCACTCCTAGACCAATGAGAAATGCGAGCATTTGGAAAGTGAAAGAAAGGAAATATGTGTATCTTGACTTTTGCTCCCTGAGTGCTCTGTACCTGGTAGGGGCTCAAATATTTGTTGAATAAACACAGGCTGCTGCCCAGCACCCCAGAAATATTTGAACGTGTTGTCCTGCCTCACTTTTCCTCTGTCCTTCACCCCCCACCCACTTCGGCCAAACTAATATCTAAGGCCATGATGGACAGACAACATGTCAAGCCTAAACGTTGCTCTCATGACAGAGGCATATGCATCACAGCTCTGTATCAGCCTGTTTACAGTCATAAGGAACCTCAGCAAAATGTGTAATCGCTTGACAGGCCTTGCTAGCTGTCATCCCATTAGTCCCAGGTGGGCCTGATACTTGGCTTTCTCATATCATTTTTCTTATTTTTTAACCACAAACAACTCCAGAAGTTCCAGGAAAATGGTCAGGAAGCCTATGAAATAAACTCTGAAATGTCTGATTTTGTTTCTCTCCATTTGTCTGGACTCACACTTGATAGACCAATAAATTAAGGACAGAATTGGTTGTCATTTCAACTGCTGACCCGAGCACTTAGCACGATGCATGGCACATAAAGTACGCTCTTAATAAATACTTGTTGACTTCATGCGTTGGAATTCACGGCTTCCACCAAACACCCAGCATTTTGCTTACAAATTTTGCAATGTTAAAACTTTATACTTGGGCAACTAAATAGGTTGCTGTGAGCTGACCATTATCAAAAGCATCATTTGCTTTCCTCTTTCCCTCCTCATGGTTTCTTTGCTCCAGGTGTGCACATCATTTCTATTTTTTTCTTTTAAAGCAATGTGGAAGAGGGGTCAAGACATCAATCTGTCTGGAGTGTGACCTAGCCCTTAACAAGAGGTCTACTCACCCAGCTAGTATCAGGAACTGACCACTTAAGCTTATTTCAGGAGCATTCCATTTGTTGTTGTTTTCTTAGTGGTCACACTAAAGCTTTAGTCTCTTGACCAATAAAAATATCCAAAGTGTAATGTCAATTAGCTGCATGACTTTAAAATCTTAAACTAAGAGTTTTGTGACCTGGTTTTATGATCTCTGGGGGAATAAATCCATTTTGCTAATTCCAAACAATGTATGATGTCACAATGGTTGAAAACAACTATTATTATTTTTTTTCCTTGAGAAGGATCTTTTGTTTCCCTCTGAGATAGTTTCCCCAGAGTCCCTTTGGGTCTTTGTTTCTAACTTTTTCAACCCCCCCCTCTTTTCTTCTTCTGAACAATGGCTTTCAGAGTTAATTTTTTGCCAGTCATGGAGACTGACACAAACTTATAGAAAATGGTGAAATGATCTACTCATTTATTGGGAACATTGCTTAACAGAACACAGAGTCCAGCATTCAACAGTTTTTCCTGGAAAAGAATAGGAAAGGCTAATTGATGAGAGCCCAGTATCCTTAGTAGCATCTTTAGAGCATTTGATAAAGGGTGGTAACCAGTGTTTTGAATTGAAAGCTGTGATGAAGCAATGTAGGGAAAGAAGCAGGTTTTGATAACAAGAGGCCTCCTGAGATTTCTTAATATTGATTTTCCAGAGGCAAGATAAGTCTACAAATCCTTTGTCTGTTGCATTCTTCAGTAAACCCTTTTCTTTAAGGTTTATGACATGTAAGTGCCGGTTTCTGAAAAGTGGAAGGTGCCACAATGTACCAAAAGTTTTCTAGCATATCATCCTTGTGAATTGACAAGTGTTATAATTTTAGTGTAAATAGGACATTTCTGAGAGATGTGATTTATTTTTCATATTTTTTCAAAATACATTCCATTTCCAATAAAGAGTTATCTATTGAAATGACCTGTTGGCTTCTGGAAAGACTTGTTATACTGATGTGTGCTGTCATGCCACAGGTAACTAGCTGGAGAGATGTGTCAAAGGGGTCTGGGGATCTCAGAAATAATTAGGCACTTCCCAAAAAGGGTGTTCCTTATCCTGTCTTAATAGAAGGAAAAAGCACATTGTTTTTGAAGGGTTA